AATGAGCCGATGATTATGTAATTATACAGCTGAAACTGCAGCCGAAAAAATCCTGGATAAACACACAAGACTAAATGCAGCACCTAAAACTGTCAAATTACCACTAATCTACACAAAGTCATTAAGTCTGATTGGGTAACACTGTGAAAAGCTGCGAATCAACAGAAATAAAAGCTGCTCTCCGTGAGGCACAAGGACATTTTAAAACACCTATTATGTACTCAACGCTTTCTGTGTGAGCTATGTGAGGCAAACCATGTTATCAATATCACCTCATGCATGTACTGTAAACTGGAAACCAAAAGAAAAAGTTCATAAAGTTCATCAAAGTTCAAGGCCTACCTGAGACCAGACAGCATCCCCTGGTTTAAACCCTCTCCAGTGCTGCCCTTCAGAACAGAGCTTTTGTTTGTCCCTAAGGACCAGCAGCTCATTGGTTCTGATCTGAGCAGCTGAACTCTAAGTATGTGCGTAGTGAACAGAAGCTATGCTCTGCGTCACTCCCCCTCTAGTGACAGACAACAGAGGGCTTTGGTGTCTGGAGAGGCTGGAGGAGTTGCCTGTGGCTCTCCCACTGCCTCTGTCAGCGTCCCCATCTCCCTGCCACTGCACTTTTCTCACCCAACTATTTGGAAAATGCTGTGGCCTGGAATTGAGCCCTGGCCAAATATGAGGAGAGCCACAGTAAACAAGACCCCAGTGGTCCTTCCTGCGAATGAGGTCGTGAGATTTAGGGCTGGAATGGAGACTACTTCCCTGCCTCACTTGGATAAACAAGGAGTGAGTTTTTAAAGCCAAAATGCCTGTCCTTACTCTCTCTCTCGCTCTGTCTTTTAAAGCACGGGGCAAGAAAACAACTACAATTCTGTGATTGTTATGCCACTCTGTAATATTGCCACTGTCATATTAAAAGCTTTTTCTATGTTATTTACACCCTTTATACTCTGAACATTCCATGACAAGTGAACTAATAGAAATGGTACAAAATTACTTGAAATGCAGGTAAACATAGTGTCATTGATGCAAAGCGCCATTTTTATGAAGCATTAAAAGCTACATGAGTGCTTATAGCGGCCCCCTGTGGAGAATTTTCAGCCTTCTTAACATGAATGATTGAGTGAGGCAGCAAGTGCATGACTTTACAAGCCAGGTCCATGAGATGCTTCAAAAAAAAAAATAAAAAATAAAATCTTGTTACATTACTATATATTAAAGTTTAGAATGTTTCCTTCTTTTAAAATTTACTGTTTCAGAATTTTTTTTTTAATAAATGTAAATATAATTAAACAACTAGCTGTGTAACTAATGGTGCAATAACAATTACATTTACACTGTACAGCAAAATGACAGTAATAACTCTAAGGGTCAATGTGATATTAATGAAAATGGTAAAGAATACATCTGGCTGCATGTATTGAGTGCTTGTTCTTTGCTGGAAACATGCACAAACAGCTTGCGTCATTACTGTACAGAAGGCCAGGGTAATGCATTATAGCTAAAGGTCGTACTCGCACAAGTGCAGCGTCACTCCACGTACTCATATCTGACAGCACAGTGTCTGTGCAGGCTCAGACTGGCCTCAGTACAAGCTAACCCTGCCAACAGCTGCCCAACACGCTGCCTAAATCCGAGGTCAGGGCAGAGAGCAGATAAGACATCTATTACTCTGCCATTAACATGTCAGTGGAGATAAAGCATTTATCTCTATTATCTCGTGTTAGATTAAGTTAAACCCCTCTCGTTTGTAGACTGGTCTACTGTAATTATAGCGTACAGACCTGTCAGAGCAAAGGCAGGGCTGAGAGTATTAACAGAAAGTGGTTGTCTTTCTAGTGAAATAGTGAGGTTTGCGATGGCACTCTAGTCTCAGATGGGCTTCCAAGCATAAATAAGTGAACTGATCAATACCTCTGACTTGTACTAGTATGCTCCACACAATAGGTAACAGACCTTCAGGTAGGTTCAAGCAGCTGGTAAATACTGCTTATTCAATTGTGTTATTCAATTATGTAAGAATAAAAGCTTGAAGCTACATTAGCACAGCAATAATGTGCCATTGAATAGGCATCATCTATTAACTCCTTAAACTCCCAGGTTTATCACATCATTATTCTGTAATTACAAAGAAAACAGACTGAGTTATTCTTAAGTTATATAAGTTACATGTGGTTATAGGGTTTTTTACAGCATAGTAGGTAACACTGCTATCCACCATCTGGAAGAATGTGCTTCAGTTCCCCACATGTGCAACCACATCAAGCTATATCAATTAGAGTCCTATGGCAAGACTACAAATGCTAGTGGTGGTAGAAACAAGCAAGACAGTATCAAAAGTTTCAAGCCTTGGACTGGTATTCAAACCAGTGGTTTTGATACAGTTCAAACTGCATGTTTCCTATGCCATTATATAGGATTCCGCTCCCTCCAATCAGAATAACTTGCGCCTCTACTGCTTAATTAAATTGCAAGTGGCTCTGGATGAAAGCATCCGCCAAATGCATAAATGTAAAAAATGGAACTCATATACATAACTTTAAAGTCTACCACAAGACTGTATTTACAGAATGGTTATGAATGTTTTAGAAGTGAAAAAAACACCATGTATGCAGTGTGAGGTATTTGGATTCTAGTCAGCCACTTCCCTCTTCCTCAGCGAACGGCAATTTGATTTAGCCTGCATGCCAACTGCTTCCTTGGTGCTTAGTAATGATGCAAGAGATAGAGAAGTCTAAATATTGAGCATTTCCTGAGCCTCATTGACTCTGTTTCAACAACAGCCTCTCAGAAAATTATCCGCCTGCGAATGGAAGTCTTTCTTGCAGTCCTAGCAGAATGTGGTCATGAGCTTGAGCACAAAAGCATGACGTCCGGCTGCTTATCTGCACTCCAGATTTCATCCTTTGGCTCTTGCGGCTCAATGGGACTTTGTCCATGTGCGACAGCCATCTGAATTCACGTGCAAATGTGCTCTTTCTTTTCTACATCACTGGCTGGCTGTGGACCATATGATGTAGAATGTTCTCACATGTTATTCTCCAGCTGGCTCAGTCTCAGAAGCTTGCGGGGGTGAGGGGGGGTGGATGTGGGTGTTGGGGGGGGGGTTGTTAGTAAAAGACCAAGCCTCTTGATGAACAGTTCTAGCCAACCAGAGAGATGGATAGGCAGATTGGTTTACATTCCCATTTGAAAGGCAGCAGCCAAAAGATCAGTGGCCCCCTATTTCTGCCCCGGCCTATTTAAAGTGGAGACTGTTTAAGAGGGACGGGTGCTTTATTGCTAGACATCTCAGAAGGCTTGGAGTAAGAACAGAGGTGAGGGAACGTGGGGTTTTATACTTTTAAACATGGTGAAAGAGAGATAAATACAGATATGTTTGATTCCCGACAGTCTTCTGCTTTCGAAAAAAGCATGTCAATCATAGTAGTCAACTCCCACCAAAAAAGGCTTTCAAAATGCACTGTGTATGGATATTTTCTTAAATAACAACATAACTCAGTGTTTCATACATTTGAAACTGTTTTGGACAATGACAATATATAGTGTTGGTCAGAGACTGACCATTTCATCACAGCAGGAATTACAGAGGTGGCCAAAACCTTGAATGTTTCACATGCAGCCTGTGTAATCAACAAAGCAGGGGTAAGTGGGGTGGGGGCACAGAGGCTGGGAGGACTGGGTGGCCAGCCACATTGTGGTCAGGTGTCCTCATGCGATGCTCACTAGAGTATTTACCCCTCAACCCACAAATTCTTCAGCACACACCACACCATTTCCGCAATTACAGCCATTTTACTAACAAGAGGAAGACCATGACAGTGTCTGTTTAGTATTTGTAATACATGCTTTTATTGTCTAAATTAAAGCCAAAAGGTTTAGAGAGTAATACAAGGGTCTGGCGCCTAGACAGAATAGTTCTACTCTAGTACATTACTGGAATAGTTGCGTAATAGTAGAACGCAAATACAGCTAATAAGAAGAGAAGCCTGCAATTAGCATTATTTGATTTGCTCTCTTAATGATGAAGAAAACTATCATTAAGTTAAACTATCATCAGCGTTTTTCTACTAATTGTAGTTCACAAATTCTAAGTATTTGCTAATTTTAACATGGTTGGGGGAAAAAACTAAACAAAATATATAAATATATCAAGTGGTATAACTTTTGTGCAGGACACATTTTTTTTTTTTTTTGATTTTGTTAAATTTCTCAAATAAACAGTAACTGCACAAGTTTTACAAACGACTATATCTTTACAGGCTCTCTTTGAAGCCTCCTTATCTGAGTGTGACAAGTGAACAACCCAGCAATGATGTGGCTACTTCTTCTTTGATTTTGAAGTGTAGACATTGTGACCTTGTTATTACTTGGTTTATTAAGGAAAGTGAGGAATGCAATGTAAACTCTATTAGATCTAATTCAATCAGCCACTGTCTCTCACTCTAATTAGTACATCTAGACTTACTGCTCTGCTCTTAAAACAGAATGGGTTAGACACTGGAGTACTAAATGGCCTCAATGATCCCAAATACTATGTTGCAGTAAGCCAATAAGTCTAAAGAAAGTAGTTCAGCAACTACATGTCCAACTCCTTGCCCTTTGGTCCAGTTCAAAAGGCATTTGTCCACCTGTTTTATGTCTATACCGTCAGTGTCCGAAAGAAAAACATGCACCCCAAAAATAATAATGACACAAATGGAGATACATGTTATATACATTTTTTTGGACAGTGACAGTATGTATCATTCATACTGTGTAAAATACACAGCAGATGTGAGAACTAAATATCTAGAACAGCTATCATCTGGTCACATTTTACTCATTAGCAGATCATTCTTTCATCATCACTATGACCATAATAGCTACTTGATCTTGATGGGACTCTTCCTTTGTTGATCATTAATACATTATGTAAAACAGTTACAACAGAAATCTATCGAAATAAAGAAACAATTAAAAACTAATAAACAATATGCTACCACATTAGTTTTGTGTCTACTCACCATCCATGGAGTCTTCACAGCGCTGGTTGAAGTTTTCATAAGAATCCCAGCGGATCAGAGGATCTTGGGTATTGTAGTCCACAGAGACACAGGGCCCATTCTCTAGATGGCCCATTCCTTCAGAAGATGTAGCAGAACAAAATGTTTTTAAGCTCAGTGTCTATAAATTGGCACAACTTTCACAATGTCTGTTGATAGCCTTTCAATATAAACACACATGTTTAGTATCCAAAAACAGGACTTGGTAAAAACAAACATAGCTTTTACCATGGATTTTCTCCGGGCCAAATGAGAAGACAAACTCCACTTTCCCATATTCAGGAAATCGGTCATCTATTTGAGAAATAAAATTAGCATATACAAAACAATGTCAGTGTTACCCTAAACTTTTCACATTGCTTTAGAAGACCAAAAAAGTACTGCTTTGAATTAAATATTCAAGTAAGTTTTTACCTTTAAATGTCTCGTCCAGCTCATCCTTGCCAAAGACGAGGCTTAGGTCATGAACAGCACAGGTGTGAAACTGCACCCTGAAGATGACGTCTCTGGAAGGGCTGCGGAAGCGCTTGTGATAACACTTCAGCTGTGGAGGAAAGTACATAACAGTCAGCGTCATTAAAAGCATTACATCATACATACACAGGGCCTGTCAGTGATGAACGTAAGCAGAATTTGAAAGTGAAGAGATTTCACAGAAGTCTCTCTCTCTCATACGTACAAATGTCATTCATCGACTTATAAATAATTGGGCTTCACAAAAGCATTATTATGCAGTCCACCCACACAAGACAAAATCAAATCTACACAATATTGCCCTTATCTCAAATGAAGTCATTGTGTTTACTGAATTACTGCTTTAAGAACTGAACGTGATGAGAAATGCAGTTTGCAGGCTTGTACGCACTCCTTTACTTATTCCATAAGACCCAAAAATTACAGGTACTACAGCCATATCCAGCTTGGTGATTTACTGAAACGATGTGCAGACGACAGGCTGCGGCCAGAACAGCAGCTGTCTCGCCCATTATGGCTGCATACCACGTTCAGGAGTGTGGCACATCATCAGCCTCTCAGACTTTACGTCAGTGTTCACATTCAAGAGCCATCCTTCACATCAAGCCCTATTAATCAGCTTAGATTAGATTATTTGAGGGTTTGTGGATCACCAGTACCTTGTTAGCCTTCCCGTGGGGAAACAATGCCAGATACGGCTGTCTGGGTTAGTATATGAGACTGCTCGGCCGCTCCAAACCCCAGATGAGGGAATAAAAATGTCCTCACTGGCCACTGAAGAAACTGTATCCTGTACTCTATTGCCTGGGATAGCTGTAATTAAGCTGTTTTGCTTGGGGCAGATGGATAGAAAATGCACAGGTTTTCTACTCATAGAAACAGAAGCAAAATAAACAAAACAAGATTGAGGAAGAGGGGAAAGGAGGCCAAACATCTTGTGGCTTTGGGCTGCTACATCGGAGTATTCTGCCCTGGTCTAGGGCTACCACAGAAAGCGGAGGGCCTCCTCTTCAGAACAGCAATAATCTTCATATGTAATGACCCAAACTGCCAAACACTGAGTGAAAGATGGAGTCAACGGAGAGAGGAGCTTTTGCAACATCTCACAGGAATAAAACAAACATTTACAGAACATTGTTCTCACATGTCCCATCATACAGATATGCGGAAGATACAGAAGACAAAAGAATATAGACGACAAAGAAAGTAAACTCAAGCTGCTAGAAGTGAGATTCCTAAAATGATTAGCATGAGTCTAGACTGGAAGAAACATCCATCAATCCCCCACTTTAAAGTAAGTGGAACACTGACAGTGAATTACTTAATTTCCTCCAAAGTTTGGTCTGTGTACCCCTCAGACTCTCAAGGTAAGCACCCACAGGCATTTGTTAAGACTTCTAACCCCTTCTCCATATTGATTTACAGCATTCTTTAATACCAGTATGCTGGGTCTCTGGCACACCTTCAGCTTAGTGCGCTTTCTAAATCACCTTTGCTTCTTTTCTGCTTGCTAAGGACAGATTGAGATGAGCTCACTGAACGGATGGATAGCCCTCTATGAGCGGAACATTAGCACTTTTGACAAAGCACTCAGTTCCCTGGCGTCCTCCTCAAAAAGCTTTTCAGAGTGAGATGCAAATAAATCTGGGCTGGCGGACTGCAAATGCAGCGCTGATCCGAGTGAACCCCTCGTTTCTTCTAGGGTGTTTTTGAAGGGGCGTCTGACTGACGCCCCCTTTGACATTCTGTTTTACAGCAGTTGTATGGCGCTTTAACGAAGCCCCATAAATGATGGAAGGACTCCAGCCAAGAATCCCTTCCTTCACCTTTAATGACCATATTTCACATATGACCTGTAGTCTAAATATGAGCTCTACATCAGAAGTACATCAGAATTCACCCTTGGGCTATGTGACTGAACAGAGCAGGATAATGCAAAATAAGTTAAGTAATAAGAGTCACTTGACAAAGGTAATTACATTCTCAACAAGCCTGCAAAGACTACAGCCATTTAATGCAGATTTAATGCATACCAGAAAAGAAAAGAACGGCAGAGTTTGCTAGTAGTGAATACATTTCATAGCATGTCCTTACCAGAATGTCTCCTTTCAGAAGCAGTCCAGGCTCGATGGTGATGCAAATGGTGGTCTGACTGTCGCCTTGGACATTACTGTGAATTACAGATAGAGAAACACACATTATGCTCTGCATAGTCATGATTAATATTACACTTTCACTAGATTACTTGGGCTGCAGGCATGTTTTTATGCTTAGTAATCATGATAAATGAGACGTGACAATGGCTTTTGGGGGCTTTCTGAGTTGGTGGTACGGGAGCAGAGGATGCTGGGAAGTTGTAGTGTGTAGTCTGTGGGTCTGGGAGGATATTGCTGTTCTACTGTGTGCACTTCTAGCTGCTGACTGTTCAAAGAAGAAGATGATGCTATTTAGCACATTTAGTATGGTATACAAAAGTATAGAAAACACCCCAGGTCAAATTATTATTATTTTTTTTTACGTAAAAAAGGGAACAAACATAAAGTCTAATTTTGCTACACAATTTCTATCTATTTTTTAACATATTGGAAAAAAATAAAACATAAAATACAAGGTCACAGCTTTTGCACATACCATGTTTTATGTTTTTATTTAATATATTATACGTTTAATTCACTGAGTTAACAGTAATTGTGCATTAAATGTGCAGAAGTGTGTTCTCTGTAGAGGATGTGTTAACTTGTCTTCACTTAAAACATAATACCACCAGGAGGGCCCAAACTTTAGTATATGACTTTAGGTGTAGCAGCAGTATTCAAATACAGCATGAGTATAGCTGGCTCATGTTATTTACATCATTAAAATTGCAACACAAATTAGCGAAAATAAAAATAATAAATTGGCTGATTGTTACAAATGTTTTATGACCTGACATTGTGAAAAAAACAAACATTTGTGTGGCTATGTAGGAGCTGTGTCTGAATTCATTGGGGTAAAGAATCCCCTTACAGATACTTGGTTTCTCAGCAAAAGCTTAGAAAAGACATATTAACTGACAAAACACATCTGGCCGCACACCCACACTCACACACATAACACCCTGACAACTTATTTAATCAGGCCTTTTTACGTGGCACCTGAAATACTACTTCATAAACCTATTTTTGAAACTGAGCCACCATCGCAACACTTAAGCACAGCATTAAGTTGTTATCATTAAGCCCATAAGGCTGTAATGGGTCCTGTGGCACCCCAAATGCCCTACAGCTGGCATGCTAACTGAAACACTCTCTCCTGTAAATCCAAATACGACCATAATCTCCTTGATCTGGCCCTTCCCTTCTGCTCTCTGACAGATTCTACGGGCTTCCACATAGCACTGTGTGGTTCAGCTGAAGGTGAATCACCTTACTGTAACACTAGCACTAATATTACACTTTACACATCTGTGGTCTGAAAGCACAGTATGCATGTGCACGTGTGTAGGAGATATTTTTGGCCCTTCTATGTGTATGTATATGTGTACCTATAAGGTTCACCAGGTCCTCTACAGCATGTGGGAGGGGCCAGTGAGCACAGAATGGCTTCTGATTGGTGCATTTGCAGGCTGGGCATGATGCCAGTGCAGAGTGAGAGAGAGAAAACATTAAAAACAAAGACTGTTTCTTACTAGATCCCAGATGTGTAGACTGGCTGCATGGCCTGGTAGATCTTGAGGAAAGGGCGGCAACCTGGAAGGTATATGAGAGAGAGAGAGAGGGAGAGAGAGATAGAAAGAGAGAGACAGAGAGAGGGCGTTAAAGAGAGGGAAAACAAGGCCTTAGTGTAGCTGGAGGAACAGAGGGAGGGGTGGTCTACATGCATGACTGCTGTCCCCTAAAAGCAAAGCACCTGGCTGGAGAATAGAGTTGTACTGTTCTGCAGCCTCTTTCTTCATCTAAAAACACATACACTCTCCAATCATCACATCTTTTGAACTAAACTCAGCTGCCATCTGCTTGCAGACGTCATGACATTATGGAAACAGACATGCATCTCTCTTCGGTGTGGTCCTTTAAACATAAGGAGCTCCTCTCTTTCTCCACCCCGCCTCAGGCTTGCACAGTTCCAAAGCCTTGTGGGAGGCAGTAGGAGCTGGGCTGCACGCCTGAGAGAAGGCCCTGAAACCTGTCTCCAGCTCCAGCTGCAGCCCTCAGACAGGGCCATGCCTGAGGAAAGGGCCGATGGTCACAGAATTTGCATGCTTGGTTAATTGTGTACAAAAGTAAATGTTTTTATTGTCCATTTTAATTTTTTTTTTGTGAAAATCTGAACACAAAATAATGGGGATGTATATTAGTAACAAGATAATAATAATAAAAAATAACAATGGTCTTCTGTTGAATAGGCTTGGTGCACCTTAAGCCTAGCACTTTGTTAGTAAGTTTGTTGCTCTTTCCCACCAAGTGCTGATTTTTCAAAAAACCTTTAAGACTGTTCATAGGTTGCGTCTACATATGTTCTCCGTATGCAGATCATGTTCGTATTTCAAGAAAAGCCAGGTGTAAACACCAGGACACTTTGTGATCAGACCGCTCAAACCCGTCAGAGATGGAGCTTGCCAGCATTCAAAAAGAGTGTAAATGGAATCTGTTGTGAGTCGACAAAGAGGTACAAAGTAATTCTTTCATTTTGTATATCCTCATAACTTGCTTTGTAAATACTTGTTACTGCTGTTCTATTCTATTCAAAACCAGGCTCAGGCCTAGTGGAGCTTACCTCCTTTGGACTCAAAGTTGGGGATGCCGTGCATGATGACATGATGCAGGAAGAGAGGCTTGTTGTTAATCTTAATGTGGCCCGAAAGCAGCCCACTGAAATACTGCACATATCTAGAACAGAAAGACAAACAAAAACAGACACAAGACAATCAAACTAAGAAACAGCTCGCCCATCTCTTGGACCAGTTTGACCACCATGGAACTTGGAACTTCTTGCTGTGCACAGCTGTGCAAACCTCACCTACATGCCACTGACCCTCCTCATGATACTGCCCCATGCAGAGACTCAAACTATTCAATCATAGCCATTGCTTCACCTGCTTTTCCCCTTTCTGTATTTTAATATTTTACACTAATGTTAAAACCTCATTCTCTGTTCATCTTGCTCTTGTGTTATTGTTTTCCAGTGTTGACCAGAGGATGCTGGGTCTCCCTTCTGAGTCTTGGTTGCTCTCAAGGTTTTTTCCTCTTGCTCTTAGGGAGTCTTTCCTTGCCACTGTCACCACTGGCTTGCTCATGAGGGCCTGAACCTGTTTTTTTTCTATAAAGCTGTTTTGCGACAACGCATGTTGTAAAAAGCGCTATATAAATAAACTTTGACGTGATTTGACTTAAAATAAGCAGTATTTCTGCTGAGCACCTAACAGAGATGTAATAAATGTCGAAACCCAGATTGGGCATTTTTGAAAATAGAAACACAGCTTTTTATGGACTACAGTAACAATTACTACATTACTTTTACTAAAGCATACATTTAACATAGATAACATGCTGAACATATTCAAAGCCATAGCAACAAAGGTACCCAGTGAGTAAGATTCCCAGCTGGGGGGTTAAGGATGAACATAAAGAGTAATGATGTCTTACAGGCATCATTAATGCCAGCTGGAGCAGCTCCTTGCCCACCTGTCTAATAATGTCTATATATCAGACAGTATATACTGTCGGATTCTATTAGGGTTCTGTTTTGTATAAAGCCTTTTAAATGGAAGAGCTCTTTGCGCTGCTTCCAAAAACCCATAGAAGAACTTTGGGCACTTCAGTTTCCATAAACAGGAAAGAGCTTTTTCCTACTTTAGCACTGAGGCCTCTCCCCCAGGGAGGGACAGTGAGAGGGTCTTTGGCTGGGGGCCGGGGGCTAGCTTTCCCATGCAGGGGAGCAGCAGCTCCATTTGGGCTCACAGATAACAGAGAGGCAGGGAGCAGTGGTTGTCCTGAAGAGGACTCCAATCACAAAACTGCTTTTCATCAGTGGGAGTCTAAAAAGATAATTTGGCAAAAAATCTAATTTACACAGTTTTACCCCAAATTTACCCCAACTTACTCCAAACATAGCTGATTAGCCAACACTTTCGGTGCCTGAAGTTTGCTTTTTTAGAGTTTGCTTAGGATGGCTTGAAGACAGCTGCCCCTAATGTATGTCATAATGTGTCTGAAACCACACAGGCGAGACTGTTTGAGATTATTTTACATGATGCAGTTTGAGGCAGCAGACAATGGTAATTGGTGAGTTATTTGCTTTTCCTACTTGTGAGCTACATTAGCCTTGTAGTTGTAGTGTAAAACTAAGGAAGCAAACTTCAGATATTAAGCCCCCTGGTGGTTCACCTACATTTGGGATAAGGGGAAATCTATGTATTTTTCACCAAACTATCACTAATGAAGCCTAAAGTGTCAGCCACATCAAACAGCAAGGGCAAAATCTGAACCTCTAACAGCATGAACACTCCACATTCATCACTCAATGTACAACTTACTGGAGGTCTTGATGAATGTGTGGGTTTTTATGTCTGTTTGTGGCTGTTTGGGGTATTTTGGTATAAAAGACATGAAGTTCAGCATAATGGAAAAAGTGGCTCCTCATGTAGAGAATTGTGTGTGGACTTGAGATAGAGGCATTTGGCACATTACCATTGCACATGCCTCCCATAATAACTGCAGACTGGTGGACAACCACTTGTGGCTAATTATAGGCCGGTCAGGAAATAACAGTACAGAGAGCCCAGATCTCAAACATCGTTGCTCAAAAAACCCCTAAGGATATCATATTTGAAAGAACTTTTCAGTTAAATGTGGGAAGGTACACATGCAGGCACTGGTATCACTTAACAAATCCATAAAAACTAAAGTCATCTGGCATGCAGTTATGAGGATTTGAGTGTTTGAGCAACACAAGCTAAGCTCAGCTTTTTGCACCAAATGGACAGAGTCTAACAGGGATGCTGGAAGGTGTTTTGAGTTAGGGGCGCTGAGATTTTACACAGCATATTAGTGACGTATATAGTGATGTGATGCAAAATGACATGCATTTTTCTCATTTAAATTTTTTTGGGTAATTTACATTGAACAGAGAGTGTCCTCACATGCTATAATGCAGCAAGAGATGAAAATATACACTTACAACTGACAACAAACGGCTGATGCACACCCTGCTTACTCTCCTCATTATCCTCATTGATGAACTCTATACAAAAGTGCTATGTGGCAGCCAATCAGATTGTTGATATGTGGCATGGTAACTAATTGTGTCAATTAGTCAATTCTCGAACACACACCGAGCTGGAGATATAATGACTGGCAAAAACAAAGTATTCACTATTACATTATGTGAATTTTTAAAGTTGAAAAACCAACATTAAGCCACTTTGCAGCACAAAAATAGTCTACAACTCTGCAAACACTGGACTCTAAATTTGGTCACTAAAGTGGTCAGCAGTTGTAGGTGAAAGCGATTCAACTCATTATAATCAAAATGCAGCGTTAACTTAAACAGTGCACAGCTAAAAACAAAAGACAGCAATTGATTTTAGTAATCCCAAAATGGCTGGTATAACTGCACCACTGCAGCAGCAGAAGTACTCTCATCTCAGGTCAAACTCATACAGGCTGTAGGAGGAGAGGTATGCGGGGGGCAGACAGGAAATGGGGCGAAACTGACCTTTTCTGGGACGGTTGGCCCACAGGAAGCACTTTATCTTCATAAAACCTCTTCATGGCAAACCTGTCCAGAGCCTGGTCCGCACTGCAGGCCAAACAAACACGTTCTCAGACTCGATTACAATTTATGACCACACGTTTTAGTTTAAAATACTGTCGTATGCAAAAGTTTGAACACCTTCAGTCAAATGAGATGTTTTGTTTATTTCCGCGGTGACAATGAGTTTACACATTCTCTACAGGAAGTACATTTGTAAAACATTTTTCTGCATACTTTAGTGCAAACGTCCAGAGTTTAATGTATTGGAAAAATAAATAAATAAAACATGCCATATATTTTGTATATGTCACATTTCATGTTTTCCCCAATATGTTAAATTCAGCAAATAAACATAGAAAAAAAAAAACAAAGCATAGTTTGACCGGGGTGACCAACCTTTTGCATATAACTGTACCTTTACATGTTTATTTCTTCATCATTATCAACATTCTGCAACATTCGACGTCATGACTAATGCATGGAAGGCAAAAGCAACATGACATTCTCTTGTAACTGCACGCAGGATGATTTCATGAGCTCTGTGCGCTGTGTACTGTGTTCAGACAGTAAAAATAGCTAATACAGTCTTCCTAACAAGGTTACAAGAGCTTTATCAGTCCATAATTCAAGTCTTGAGACAAGTCATCTCCTGATAGAGTGATGTGTGTGTATGTGTGTGTGTGTGTGTGTGTGCGGTTGATTCTCTAACCCCTCCCTGGGCTCTTATGTTGACCGGTGTGTGTCTTGTGATTAGGGATTATAGACTTTTCTCCATCAGGACTCAGCATGTCCTTAATGCTTAGAAGTCACAGTTATCATTGGCAATAACAAAAGCATGTGATGTAATATCACTGGCCATATAATTTGATATTAATTATTTCTCAATTGTAGATCACTGAAAATAAGCAGAGGAATTCTGTAGAAAGTACAGATACTTTCAGTTGGCACCGTATTTGTGTTTGTCTTTATATTAGGATTTGGATATGCAGAAAATGCTCTCTAGTGTTTACTGTCTTGTTTCATAACAGGGAAAACATCCTTAACAATTTTTGGTTTTATGGTTTTCATTTCAAGAAATGGTTTAATCATTTCTTGACTTTGAAACAAACAGAAAAACGCCAGAAAAAGAAAAACTCAAATCTGTCAAAACTGAATAAATGAAATAAAGGGGCCAAGTGTTCTTTGCACAATGCCATCCAATTTTATTGAATATTTCTTTAGTGAAGCATTGTTGTAAATGAAATGTATGAGTGTAAAGAACCTTTTAAAGTTTAAAGAACCTCCATATTCTGTAAATGTTCTATAAAGAACCTCTAAATTGGTAAATAACCTTTACATTATCTAAGGGTTCTCTTTACCTTCAGGCGGTTCCTCACATTCACACATCTATTCTACAAACATGGTTCTTTAGGAAACTGAAATGGTTCTTTTATGCACTGCTCAAGGGAACCTAAGTGGTAACTTTTTTAAAAGAGTGTAACTGTGTCATTAACTATGTAATTACATAAATACATTAAAACAGTAAACCAGCATTAAATGATCACACGTGTGAGTACGCCTCACCTTGCTGAAATGTTGCTGTAATGCATGTATGCAGCCACAACAACCCCTGTTCTCCCCCGATTTCCCTGCAGAGAGTGAGAGAGAAAGTGAGAGAGATTATACCAGTTGAGAGGTATGGAACCATGAAATTCAATTACGTATGAGACTGTATGATGTTATAGTTCGATGAACAGCTTGTAAGAAACCACTCTCTGCAAGTGAAAAACAAGATCTTTCTGAAGAAGCACCAATTAGAGTTTCTATGCTGGGATTTATAGTGTGATCATGTGTTAATACAGCGTATAGCGTGTAGGCTGCAGCAGCTTTCTCAGTGGCTGCATAGTTCAACCACCTAGTCATCTGCTCAAGTTTCCACTGCCATACAGAACAACACAGCTTGCCATGGCAACATCATGTTTATGATCTCTTGTTAAAAATGCTTGTGTGTTTTTGTTTCAGGAATATACGCAGATTAGCGCTAATCCCAGCTCTCGGTCTCACTCGCATGGTTTTAGATGACATTCAGTGCAAGTGTGAAAGAGGAATGACCATGAAAGGAAGTTCTGTGATGGTTAATCTACTATACAGACCCCTGTATGCACACACATTCGACTAACCAGTGAATCCAGGAGGAAACCCATGGTACTCTATATGTAAATTGGCAAGTTGATTCACCATCAAAAAACTTTGCCATCATTCTTTTCATAATGAGTCTACTCTGCACTGGACAGCAACTGACACTGAGGGGCAGTGACTTTCCACTGAAATTAACATTCACCGCAATTTCAAACAAGACAATAATATTATTCCGAAATAAGCATCAAGCAGTGACTCTACTAAAAACTATTTAAACATAATGGTAGAATAAACAATATGCCATCATCAGCTCCACAATACTCTGCCTCTGTTGACCAGTCAAATAGTTGATCTTTCACACCCATTCATAGAACACAGAAGCCTGAAAGTGGCTCTCGGGGGCATCACGCTCCTGGTTTAGAAAGGGACTGTCATTGTTGCTGTTGTTGCTGATGTTGTTGTTATCAATGTAGATCTGTTTCTTAATGTAAATTGTCCATATGCACAATGTTTTTCACATCTTCTTCCACACCATTCCTACAATATCAAACTTGACAAGCAGTGATAGATGACACCTACAGGAATAAGACATTTAATTTATAAATGTTTATTTGGGTTTACATCAGCTATGTAGGCATCATGTAGCTTTATGAACACTGCCCTACAGTACAGTGTTACCTATTTTTTTGTAACTGGTTAGTGATTGAGTATGTGCTCTAGAGTGCAATGGGAGGGACGCCCAGGGTCATGACCATGCTGACATTTCTCATACGAGCAGGAACTAGGATGAGCCGTGCTTTGGGCAGATAAGGCCCTCGCTCCTCATGGGACTGTTTTCCTACCATTCCTCTCCCAACTGCAATTCCTGCCATTAGCCAACAGATACTAAAACCTACCACAGGCCCAAAAACAAGGGAGGGAAACTTTACAGCCTCAGTTCACACAGTTTCATCATAGTTAGATCGTTTATCTGCGGCTCAAGAATGGTGTAATTAAACCATCTCAGAGGAGCACGGAGGAAGCAGCTCAAAGCATTGTTTGAGAAAAGCATCCCAGTTCAGTTCGTCTCTGAGAGGTCAAACGAAGGTTTTCTACACTACAGGGAACACCAAGAATATTTCCCTTTCCTAACACCCCCTCAGATGACTTCTCTAACGCAGGACAAACAGTGTGGTGAGTGTAGAGCTACTGGAGAGCAGCTGCATCTGCTTAATTCCTCTCTCTATGCCTATTACTGCACACATATAGACCAGCAGTGTTCGGGAGGGGAGAGAACAGCATGAGAACGCCATCTACTGACAAGATACTGAGGACACTGCTTTCCTCAGAATCTGCATCATTTTTCTATCTTTAAAACAAATACACCATTAAACGCTTTCTTTAAAGGTTATCAGTCATTGACATAATTAAACCATCTAGTAGCAGCCAGTCAATGTGATTGCACTTGTATGGAAGATGTTTCAGCGCTTATACGAGGGGCTTCATCAGTTCAAGATGATAAGTTGGCTGACATTTTGAAGCAATGAATTGACTGTAAGACTGTCACTACTCATTATATGAGTAATCAAGTAATCTAGTGATTATTGATGACTATAAAGCAATCTTTTTTTCTGAAGCCCAACTACAAAAATGGGCTTAACTGTAGCTTAACAAACTTATTACGCACAGCCTTTTAAAGACTCTTGAATAAAGAAGCCTTTGGAATACTTCATACACAAACAAAACTCTATGTGTCAAAATGTTTAAAAATGTGCATCCACCAGAGAGAGCAGTAGGAGAATTTGAAATATGCAGTGTCAGAGTATCTGTAGTTATTATCAAATTGAATCTAATTCATTTTAAGTCAAATCTGTACCTTTGAGTGAATCATTTCAACAAGAAACATCATTACAGTAGTGTTGACTGCGGCAGTTGTGAATTTATGAGTAGCTTGAGTACCACAGCTATGATAATGCTTATTTCAACGTTATCTTAGTGCCAAGCTAGCAGTGGTGTACATTCACCTCTCATACAAGATTCAATACTACTCATGTCAATTCTGCTTAAACAATGACACAGCTTGTTACAAACCTTCAACTGGCATATCCACTTCATGTTTTACAGTGAATGCTTCAGTAAAGTCTATGAATAGTATTGTAGAGGTCTGTCTCTCAGCTGTCTACCAAAGTGTCAGTAAGTCACTAAGTTGTGTCTAAGCATTATTTTTATTTATACAGGATGTCACTAGCAGGGCTCCGTAGATATGTAGCAAACCATCTTTGAGGTCATACTAGCTTACTCATCAAAATACTTCTACATAATTCCTTTAAATATTACCTTGTTGTGCAGGACCACAACATTATGGCTGTCAGCACTCATCCAGGTGTCCATAGCTTTACATATGCTGCATATCTTATCCAACGCTGGAGCATGATGGTCTGGCCACCCGAAGTCGAGCACCTGAAACACACAAGGACCAAGAGTGAGTCTGTATGTACATACCTATCTTGCCCATTTGTTATCATGTAGAATTTGTCATCCACCCTGTGCCCCATTCATCAGCTGTCAGTATCTGGCCACAAGACCTGGTCACCAGATATCATCTGGGTGGTAGATCATTCTTAACACAGCAGTGACGCTGACATGGACGTGTCATGGTAGCGTAAGTGGCGCTAGAATTGTATCAGGCACAGCGAGGTTGCTGTGGGTTTCAGACACACCAGTGTCACTGCTAGGGTAAGAGTGGTCTACCGCATGAACATATCCAGCCAACAGTGGCTCTGTGGTCAGACACTGACCATTGAGGAAGGGTTAGAAAATGAGTAATACAAACTGTGCAAATGGACTACAGAGTACACTAAACACTGACAAGGTGGATCTACAAAGAAACAAAAGATTAAAAGTACTTACTTTGGGATTCAGCCTGGAGATGTCAAATCGTTTTTCACTCAGATTGAAGAGCTGAAAGAAGATATTCATTAGTCAGCATTGGAATATAATTCTACAGCATTCAGTAGTGCTGCAAAAGTGAGTGAGTAAGTGAGTAGGTAAGTGAATAGCACTCACCAGGTAGTTGTCTCCGTGCTTGGAGCGGAGCATGCTGGCCACCTCTTTGAGGTTAGAGCTGTAACTTTGTTCCTCCACACTGCTGGGGAAAGACACAGAGATGATCCTCTCTGTGATGTAGACCAGGTCCACCTCATAGTTCTCCTCCATAGACTGAATCAGGCTGATGCTCCTGGAGGGCATGGGAGAGGGAGAGAGAAACAGAGAAGAGAAAAAATGTGATAACATAGTGTCAGACAGAAACACTGTCAGAAAAAAAGGGTACTGTGCATAAGCAATGTAAATGCACCCTCAAAGCTACAACACGGTCCTTAATGTCCAGCTGTGTACCTTAAAAGAGTTTCAGGCACACTACATTTACTTTTCCAGGAGACAGTTGCATATCTGTACCTTTTCATAACTTTAAGTATAAAGAAGCCAGGAGTCAAGGCAGGGTGTATGGAAGCAATGTAATTTAAAAATTATTACTGCAATAAAATATAGTACAATTATGTTCCCTAACTAAAGTCATCCCAGTGACATGAGGGGCTCCACCCCAGGGACAGTTCAGTACATTTTTTAAGAGACTCAGATTTACAAACTTCAACCCAGCATTACATAACCATATATGGTAAACATAGTTTTAAAGCTATTCGACATGTGAGCTCACTCCAAACCATCAATGTGAGTTTCTTTCTGCATTCTGACAAGGTATTCCTCTTGTTTGCTATGGTGGCTGCAAAATATTCACCACTACACTCATTAAAATCAAGAAGAGTCTTGTATTTCTCACCAAGCCTGCATGACTTCATTAAAATCAAACTGTCTGTTTTGTTTCCTCAGAAATGTCAGCATGACACAGTACATTAAACGCATATCTGGTGCGTAGTTAGGTTTGAACCAAAAAAAATAAATAAATAAAGCGCTGAAAGATTGATCATGGAGATAAACAAGCTAGATATGAAAATGTCTTGCATTTCATGCATGCGGCTGAGCGGACCAAGGAAAACAATTCGGTCATTTTTAAGGAATGAGGAGCCTGAATAATAGAACAGCAATCTGCCTCCCCATCGCTAACCACCTCAATTTACCATGCTAAAAGCTGAGAATAGATCAGACCACAGTACAAATGAACCACAGCTGGGATCTGTGGGGATCGGAGATGGGTTTGATGTCCTGACCTTGTCTGTGGCAGAGGTTGCACGACTATTAAAGTCAGCCAAAAGGATAGTATTTAGCTATACAGTATGTCATCCATCCACTTAAGAAAGGTAATTTGAGATTATTTGTTAACTCGTGATTTGAGGGGAGTGATGCAGTTTGCAAGATATTAACCTGATGGCTATAAGCTTTCAGTACTTATAAGCAACTTTAGCTACATTAGCCTTGTGGGACTGTGAGAACTCCAAAACAGGCAGCAATAGCATTTTATAGCTACTGTGAAAAGAGACTAAAGAACTCCAAACGCTACACATCTTGGTTGATTGATGACATTTGGGGCAAGGAAAAATTGATTTTTGATTGAGCCATCGCTTTAGGCCCAATCCCATTTCACCCCTCGCCCCTACCACATAGCCCTTAGCCCTAGTTTCGGGTGTTCACGCCTGGGGGTAGGGTGTCCCTATTTTTGTTGAGATGGAGGGGTAGGGCAAAGTGTTAGCATGACATGACCCTCCAAACTGAGGTTTTTAGAGGCACTCCAAACAGAGTGTTATGACAAAAAAAGAAAAATCAGTAAGATGGCTGCGCAAGTGACCTAAGAAACCCACAAATGTGAATATTTTCTCTGCTAAAAAATCGCGATAACCATTGTATTGTCCTAGTTTAATGTCGTTTCAATGTATTATGTTCCTTTTCTTTATAACAAGCAAACAAAATCTAATAGTATGCTAATGTCTAGGTAGCTAGCTGGCCAAATTTCCCTGCTCCACCTTAAATAATCCAGCAGTACTGACACCTGAAGTGCCAGAATGTAACTGCTGCTCCATTTAAGGTAGAAAAGGAAAATTCAAACAAAAACTTCAGCTTCATATTGTCAAAGAATTAGAGGTGGGCGATAATAAATGATTGCATTCCCCCTCCTTGACAGCATATGATGCCCTAAATTTAACTAAGACCAGCAGTGAGGTCGCTGAACTTTACCCTCCTCTGCTATTACTGCAGACTGGCAGGGTCGCCTACAGAGCACGGCTAGTAGCCTGTTAATGAAATTATTCTCTTTTTTTATTTGAGGGTCCCATTTCATAGGGGAAGATTTCAACCACTACCCCTTGTAACTCAGTTCCAAGGGGCAAGGTGAGACTCCAAAACAAGGGGTAGGGAAAAAAAAGAAATGGCATTAGGCTTTCATTTTACAAAAGAAGTCAACTAGTTGATTCCTCATCCTAGTTAAAGTCAAGGAAAGAAACACTGACAGTATTCTGGATATCTGTGAACAGTATAATTAATAGCTCACTCTAGTTGCATGTTCTTGAATTTGAAGTTATAACAGCAGCAGTATTTGTGCTGTATTTCAGTGTAGTCACATACTTGTAGCTGACAACAGAATTGTTTTTATTTTTTTATGAAGTATTACACGAAAAGTAAAAAAGTTGTCTTCATAGTAAGCCAAAAGCTGTTTGCTGGACCATCCTTCTGCATGTCTCAGCTCCAGAAGGGTTTGCAAAATAGCTAATTAGTTGTATCAAGTGTGTTATAACAGGAAAACACCTCCAGAACCAGTGCTGGACTAGACAACTAGTCTATGCAACTCCTTGTATGTGCTGCTGTGCGCTCACAGACGTCCTACTGCCGCTCCGTGTAAAGTGCACATCAGAGATGTTTGGGTATCCTCCCGGGGAAATGCCGTGCTCAGGAAAATCTGCTTCTCATCAGGGGGTCTGCCCATAGCCCTACTTCGCCTACGAGCCCCAATAAGCTCTGTGCATCTCTTCGAGGGCAACTACATTACAGCACTGATCACATTAAGCATCTTTTAAACAAACACATGCACAAAGCACATGCTTTTAACTTCAACAATAAACAATACATTTGCAGTGCACTTTCTGCTGGGAATGAAACAATAAGCATCTCTCAGTGAGGTAAACATCATCACGTGGGGCTGTGGGCGCTTGGCTTGTATCAGAGTGTGGAAAGATGGAGACAGGAGATCGGTGTGATGATGTAAGTAATGCAAACGCATACTGTACTTTCTATCAACCCACTTTGATCAGTTCAGCACAGTTAAAGCACAGTCAGAAGCTCTATACAGTTTTTTCACAGACAAAAGGATTTAATTCAAATGTTACACTGAAAGGTTATATGGAAACAAATAGGAGTTCCAAAATGATAATCACTGCAAATAATTGGCAAATTCAATGTTGCATCAGAAATGTTTCTGTAGGGCATACATACAAGTTTAAAGTGATACTTCAGCAAAAAAAAAATAATTTACCCCAAATGTACAGTACCGTTTAGAAGTTTGGAATCACTGGTTTCAATAATATAGAGCCAATTATTCTAATATGATGTAAATATTCTGCAGGTTTCAAGTAATTTTTAGGAAGCTGCAAAAAGTTAAACAATAAACAGTTTTGCAGATGATTACATGATAATTAAGAAATCTGTACAGCACCAAAAATGAACTTAAAAATAAAATAAAACCATAATAACAAATATTAAAATCTATATCCAGAATGCCTCATATTAGGTGGTGACCAAATCCAGCTGATCAAATAGATATCTGCAGGAATTCTCTCACAAGGAATTACTATTAACAGATAACTTCTTGTTGTTCCCAAAATACTTTGCATTGTAAAACAGATTTACGTTTGTTTTCTATTTTACAACATTTCAATCTACACTGTAATATAAGTTATTAGTGAATAACAGTTATTCGCTAGTTTGCAGGATGCCTTCAATATATGATTGACATAAAAGAAGAGAACAGTATCAGTGTAGGAGGGGAGAGAACTAGGAGAACTTGGCCTGAAGTTCTAGGCAGCTACTGCTTGAGCTATGGCAGGCTGGACTCCTCTTCTTAAAAACAGAGGTAGGACTGAGAGAGGACTGAGGAACAGGGAGATGGAGTGGTGGTGGGGTATGTAAATGTTATCACAGCAAATTTATAGGACCTTAACAAGGAAGGAGGAGGAGCTTCAGTCCTCCTTCCAAACATTAGTTACTTCGTAACTCCATTTAATACAAAAAGTGATTCCACACTGACCAGCCAAGACATGTTTGGTGAAGTTATTTTAGGTTTATACTAGAGCTGTGATGCTAATGTAGCCAATAAGTAAGCAAGCTTACATCCCACCAATTTGCAATGTGCAAATGGCATAAATAGGTAGTTTCACACTTGCCTCCATGCTGAGTTGGAAAATAATCTCAAATAGACTTGTTTATGTTGTTTCTGTTGTCTACTTTGAAGACAACTCTAACAGCCTCAAAGTTAACATCATGACATTTTATTTTATTGGTATTAGTTTTTCATGTCATTAACATGTTTTCCTAGTTTGATCCTTCGAACCACCTATAGTTCCTGCCTAAAGCCCGGCTGCTTGCGTGGTGTTGTTATGGCTCCACAACTGTAGTCTTTTCATTCAAAAACTATAATTATATAAACTATAAACAATAAATGGTTCCACTTATGGCACTATTGACGGCTCTCTTGATACACCAAAGTTATTTCCAGCTACTGCCATGTCGTGAATTTGTTTATTACCAAAATGTATCGAGTCTGAAGTAAGCTGGTAGCATCAGTAAACTCAGTAACATTAGCACTGGAGGACACATTCAGCAGACTTCACTGGACAGTGCTTGCAAGAGATGGATAAATCAACCACCTGAAAACTAATAACAGCAATAGGAAAAGTGGAAGGCTCCAGCAACCCTCAAAACAAGACGTAACATGGTAGTATGAAAGCAAAAGGGCTATAATTGCAGATGAGTTGGAACATCAAGCCACACTGTTGCTCTCACTGGATGTTGGTGATAAAAACTGGAAATTGTGTTCACCCCGCTTTTATGTTCAGGGCCAAGCTGAATTATTGAAGGTAATAAATACATTCTGTTGAAGCTTATTTGTCATAGCTGTTACAATGCACTGCTCTTTAAATACAAAAAAAAATTCTTTAGGGTCAAATCAGAAAAAGAAAGATAGATGTGATTAATTGCGATTAACTACACAACTACATGCGATTAATCATGATTAATTACTTAAATCTTTTGACAGCCCTACTTCAGACACCAATCATGTTTATATGACTACACTTGATAAGAGGTTACTTTAAGGGGATCTTTTATGGGCTCTGCACCAACAACCTTACAGAAAATATGGCTGACCTCCATCTGCTGAACACACTCCACTAACAGGTGCCATGGCAACAAGCATCTTCCCATGCTGACGCCCTACTCTGCCCTGCCACAACATGATCCCACAGTCCACCCCAGGAAATGGAGTATAAAAGACCGCTTTCATCTTTTAATTCTGGTCTTCTTTGTGGGCTACACATTTTAGTTTATAATGGCAATTTCATGAGCTCACAAGGACTGCAAGATGGTTTCCTCATTGAGGCTAATTTGATAAAAACTGGGCTTTGCCGTACTGCGCCGAGAATTAAACGAAGGACGCTGATCCTCGGAAGAGGAAAATAAAGATCATAGTGTCTCTTCTTTTTTTCTCTCTCCAAGGAGAGATGAAGTTGCAAAGCAGGCGAGTTCAAAGGAAGGAACAAAAGCTTTTCATTTTGGAAACTGGGCAGTCATGTTAAACATTTGAGTTGTTTAGATACAACGTACTCAGGCAGAAGAGCAACCCACTTCAAAAACTGTTTGGGAGATCTGAATTCTCTTCATAATTCAGACGTGCACAGTTTACCCATGGAACTGTACGCTCCTCCAGTGTGTTTATCTTATGCGCCGTAAATTGGAGAAAGGAATGTCGTCCTCCTCCGGCTTGCTGGGTACACTTGACACAGGCTGGGTACACTTGACTAACAAGCTGAAATGGCCAATGCAGCCTACATGGTCACTTAGAGTAAAGTTTTGTGAGCCAGTTACCTCCATCAAACATTTGGGGACATAGGGGATAGCTTGCTTTTAACAGTTTTCTTTATTTGTTTGCTAAAGATATTAAATAATAAACTAGTTTGTTTTGAGGAAAACATTATCACGTGTGTAAATGTTTTTGACAGTGCTACCTTGAGAATAATACCAAAGCTGACTTATTGTATCACCTTGTTGCCATGCACTCATCAGTACTCGCATGTTACCGGTGTTTAAACCATTTCTGAGCCAAAAGATTTTCATTATTAAGGCAAAACCTGCTCTACACCTTTCCTAAATCCACATAACTAACTAAAATTTAATTTTTTCAAAGAAATATTTAAAAAGAAGGTATCCTCAAACTTTTACCATGCAGTGGACATTCCGAACACTCAGGGTGTGGACTAACTCTGTATAAGGCTGAACTTTACAGCACAGACATGTTGATAAAATCCTCTGTATGTCATCATTATGCAAAGCATGCACAATAAAACGATCAGCTTTCATTTGACTGGCACTATGAATAGCCCGACATGGGCAGGGCTGTGCCCAGCCATTAAGATACTGATAGACAGGGGTGAACAGCTGAGTGGCTCCTACCTGGATGGTCTCCGGCGTGACTCCATGCTCTTGGAAGATTTTGTTGAGCCCTGAAAACACAAAAAAAATTAGATTATTTTAATGCATAAAGGGCAGAGCACTAGGTTGCTGCATTTTAAAATAACTCTCCATTTCCTTTTAAAGTCCTGAAATTTGAAAGACAAGCAGACTTTCTCTTTCCCACGCTCATACAAGAAGGAGTGTACACACTACCATAAATATTTACTGAAAAGTTTTCTTCAAGTCCTTTCAGAGGAATATGTTTATCATGTTTAGCCACACTGTGACTGGGGTTAAAGTTGGTCACAGGCTGTACTTTGCTGTAATGTGCCGCTTAGAGGTGAAACATGTCCTTTCTTTTAGTCATGACTTTAGTTCCTGCAGGATTTTACATAGACTAATACAAGTGTCAAGACTTCTTTTTCTTTTTCATCTGCTTCCAGACATGTGGTGTCGTATGACTTGGACACGAGTATGACTCAAGTCGAAAATTCGATGACTTGAGAGTCGACTCGAGACAATCGAGAAAAATTTGTGACTTGACTTTGACTTTAACACTCAAACTCGGAGTTTGACACAGCGAACCCGGAGTTTGACTCGGAGTTTGACACAGCAAACTCGGAGTTTGACTCGGAGTTTGACACAGCGGACTCAGAGTTTGACACAGCTCTCTCCATCAGACCGTTTTAAACAGCTTCTGCAGCTGACACAAGTGCAACATTCACCACAAGGCTGAAGTTGAATTGTTATTCATCAGCTTTGTATTGGAATTTGTTGTTCCACCTTTGTCATTCCTGTTGTTCCAATGGTACAGCAGTTATGGAATGGAAAATCCGAATAAGAAGACGCTGGTGAAAAAAAGTCAACCTTATCTCTATACATTCACCAGCATTTTGCTGTCTTTTCTGAAAAATTTGTTCAGTTTGGTTGTTTTTGTTTCTTCATTCGTCAACTCAATTCAAATTCAAACTAACGGCTGTTTTTGTTGGCTAAGCTGGTTTTAGCGTTGAGCTAGTATTTATTTTAATCCTATGTGCCAAATGTTTTTCATGTGTAGTGCACTACTCTTTGTGTACACCTGTATGCCTTTCATGGTTACCTGTGTACCATGAATTTTGTATTTTACTCAGTAGGGTAAAAATAATAATAATAATATACAGCTAATATGTTATCATTAAAAGGCTATAGTACTGTTACCATTGACTAATGTTATGACCTTAAATTAGCTGAGGAATGCATATTAACTAGTTTAGCACTCAAAGATTAGGACTACTGACTTGGGACTTGCCTGTACTGACTCGAGACTTGAACCAAGACACAACTATCTTGACTCAGGACTTGAGTTGCAACTTAGTGACTTGTTCCCATCTCTGTCTGCTTCCTTCTTCTACCTTTTACTTTGTTCTCGGGGCATCGATTTAGACTTAGAGAACATCTATATTATCATTCAACTCTTTTTATACTTCTCTATTGTTATTCACTTTTATACACCTAATCATTTGTCTGCTTGCTATACTTTCTTTTTGCCTTGTTGCTGCACATGTAGAATTAATTCTGTTGATGTCTTGTATGTCTCATGATAAAAATACAATTGCTTCCAAAAAAGAGGCAGCCAGACATTAGCCTCTCCTATCTGTCACAGGTGAGAAAATAAATATTTCTCAAGGGGCCACATAAGCAAAGAGTTATGATCAGTTATCATTACTTCATTTCTTCATTCCTCTATCAAGACACTTGATTAACCACACCGCTAAAGCCCGCTGTATCACTCTTCTTTTCATTAGTACCCACAGAGACTGTTTGTTTTGACAGTTCCTCTGCCCTTCTGAAAGCTCTCTGCATTACTCTGCTTCATAAGTATAAATGTGCTGCAGCAAATTAAAGGCAGTCAAAGCTCGCATGGTGCAGTTGCACTGAGCGGGAATGACAGGCTTGATGAAGCCCAACCAAGAAGTCAGATGAATAGCAGGGATTTAAGGTGTCTCACGAGCTCGCTGTTTAAAACAGGAGAAGTGGAAAAGTATTTTGTGTGACTCATGGGCTTTTTTCTACAGCAGATGAAACCCCGAAAGAAGAGTGGCCTCCATTCAGCATCTAAATGACATGCTAGGGTATGACCGACAAGACCAAATGGGAACAATGCTTACAAAGAAAACCCAGCATTCACCAGTATAATTACACACAGCGCTCAGGACTATTCTAGAAACGACACAGAGGGTGGGTATGATTCCGCATGTCATAAGAAAGGGTTCTGGTTATGATAAACATCTGATTATGAAACACCATTTTCCATGTGGTTTAAAGTTTCTTTATATTGATTTAGTGTATATTATGTTTTTTTCAGCACTGGGAACTTTGCTTCTCTTTGAATTGCAGGCTAGTTTTAGAGAAGTTTCACATTCTTGCTACTAAAAAAAAAAATCAAGAATATATTATGTTGTTTGTTATATACATGATTCGAGGCATACTCAGCCCCAGTTACACTTAAGCAGACCTACACTACAACGCATCAACAGTTAGAGAACTCCGCCTATGACATTTCCATGCATGTTGATGCTTTAGGCATGGATACACCATGTTAAATGCTAAGAACACTGAAACCCACAGGACAATACAAAGTACAGTAAAAACATATCAGTTTCACAGAACCACACTGTCAGGATCAGCCCATGTCAAAGCAGGACATTAAAACAAATCAGAGCTAAACGACCCCCCACTGCCCTTTCTGAAAAAAAAAACACCCCCTGCATTATGGCTGAAGTAAAGGCCTCTGCAGCCCCCCGAGCCACACAGCGCCAGGCTCCGAAAAACGCCCAGCCTTCCCTTCTTAATCAGCCCACAATTACGACCCCCAGAAGGGCAGCCAAGATGGGGGGGCTGGGGGGTCCCAGCCGGTCTTGATCAAAACCAGCTGGAAAGGCTGCTTACGAGCAGGCCTGACAAATTAACCATCAGAGAGAGAATTGAGGGATGGGGGGTGTTGAGAAAAGCGGGAGTTGCACGGTTACACAAAGAAGTCAAGAATGCCACAGAAAGAAGCTGAATCTTCGTTGGCTATTAGACTTCAAGTGCATTATTTGGGTATAGAAGCTATTACTTCATGATCTTCACTTAAAAGTAAAGGTGCCTAAGTGGTTCCTAGCTTGGATGTGCAGATAGCAAATCCCTTTAACTGGTACAGAAGCTTTAGGAGGTTCTGGAGGTTCTTTAAACTCTAAAAAACCTCTTCATATTAAATATCTTCAGGGAACCAAAAGTGGTTCTTCTCTAGCATCACTCCAAAGAGCACTTTTATCTATGCTGTAGGACGCAGGAAGCCAGCTGAGTAGTACAGACAGAGAGAGAAAAAGAAATAAAGAAATTAAGGGATGGGGGTGTGGGGGGTGGGGAGTCGCGGACGCCTACCTTCAGCAGGTAGCCCGTGCTCCAGCGCCAGGCGCTACGAAGTGAGGAAAGGCGCCTCCGCAAAGATCCACCAGAACTCATGGCTGTGAAAGAACGCTTCCTATCTCCCTCCATTCTGCTCTCTCTCACTGCCCCAGCGCAAGAAAGCCTCTATTTTGGTTCTGTGCCGTTCACGGGATGCCACATGCCGGACCAAAAGCTACACCAGAGCACAGTTCGCCTTCTTTCCCGTCTTCCTTCTACTCTCACTCTCTCTTTCCCTTGTTTTCTCCCTCCTTCCTTTGCTCTCTCCTTCTCCCGCCTTTCCAACCTCCTCCCTCTCTCTCTCTCTCCCTTACTTTGCACCATGTCTCTCCCTCCAAACCCTGCCTTCTGTCCCTACCTCTCTCTCCCTCTCTCTCTTTCTCTCTCCTCCCTCTTTCCTGCGCTGTGTGTTTGGTTGCCACCCACGTGTGTTTGGGTCCGCTCTCCTCTCCACCCCGCATGCTCTGGTCACACACACAGCAGCTGACTCCACGCTGCAGCTTAAAGGAAACAATTACCGAATCTTCATCTTTAAACAATCTTAAGACTGAAGAACCAGGCAGTAGAAGGGGTTTTCTGGCTTTCCACGTATTCTGTCTGTGAGTTTCAAAGTGGAAACTAAACTAAACACCTAATTTGTTTTTCATAACCTTAAACACATTTAGATTTTAAAGCTTGTGCTTAAATGTTAGAAATATGTGTCTAAGACAAATATAAACAGTGAAGCCAAACGTAAGTAGACATGCACAGGCATTCAGTAATTCAGTACACTGCAATCTTACTTACACATGATAATGTTATCACGGACCATTTAATCACCGTCTCTGCAATTTAGTCAAACTAACTGCAAATAGGCCTACATGATAACTGTACACACAGATGAATATTTGGAAAGTTTTTATTATTATTATTTCATTGCTGGTTGTTTTATCATTCTATATTTCACATGTATGACCACTTGCAAAGTATTGCTATTTAAAAATGATACTGAGAATATAGCTTGTTTAGCTTTAAACATGTATTTTTTTTTAAAAGATAAAAATATAATATGTGATAATATAGTAAGCCATGAGAAAAGGTTAGGCTATTATGGTGATATAAAATATTTATATCACCACATGACTAAACATTATTCTCAACAAGTACTATCCAGCAACAACTCAACAACATATCAGTATATGTGAGACTTCTTCAAGTCTCCAAGAAAAGCATCCCCCTCATGAAGCTGCTTGAGAGAATGCGTATGTGTATGCAAAGCTCATGGCAAATTAACATGATCACTTGTATTCACTTCTGCAAAAGATATAGTTTGTTCTTTATTATACATTTTAACACAAGCTTATAGGGCTGGGTCCACTTACTGATTTGTCAATAACAGCTATGAAATTAGTTAAGTAGAATTTATCATTTTTTGGTACCATTTTATACGTGTGAGTGCTCGGATTCGTGGTCTGAAACTCCAGTGCTGGTTTCATTTACACTCGCAGCAGTGAGCCATCCTGAGAGTGACTCACACTGGCATGCTCCTAAACAGACAGTTTTCATGCCGAGTTATTTATGGATGAAACTGGATGCGATTTTTGACACACTGACAAACTGTCGCTCTGATGCACTTCTTATTAAACACTTGAGTGAAGAAGATGAAGAAAAAATGGACCCATCCAGTAGTAACAAAAACAAAGTAATCACCTTTCTTTTAGCCAGCGCAACTAAAAAACACAGCCCATTCTGGTGAAAAAAAAAAGTTTACATCAACTCACATCTGAAAATCACAAAGCAGGCACTGTGTGGGTGATGCAGTTTGAAGCTCTGCTTAAAAGCATTAAAAAGGAGCAGACAAACCACAGACAACCCTGAGCTCTGATGTGAAGACAGCATAAGTCTTAATGTTGATGTTTTTAAAATTTGCCTTTTGTTTTGACTTTTTTTGCCCCCTCTGGCACAAATGGAAACTACCCTAGACATACTGAATGTTACTGTAAAATACCCTTGGTTTTAAATAATGAAATTTTCAATATTTTTCAATAAATTTGTGATGATAATTTGTAACAAAACATGAGTGGCGCAACCATCTAAGTGTTGGCCTAATCATCAGGAGATCACGATCAGGGGTTCAATCCCTGGTGATGCTGCAGCCATCCATAGCCGGGAGTCCAAGAGAGTATAATCGGCTTGCTCTCTCTGGGTGGGTAGAATGCCCCCATCACTCAGCACAATGTTGGTTAGCTGGCGGTTGACACTTTCCTCCAAACATGTTCGGCTGTCCAATGATGTTGCCTAAGCGGCAGTTCGGTAACGCAGGTTTCAGATGAAGCCTGTGCTAGCCTTCTCCCTCCTAGCACTGGTGGTATCGTGTGATTGGGGTAGTCTTAACTAGTGGGTGAAATTGGATATGACCGAAAAAAATCCCCAAATTTAATATATATATATATATATATATATGATGTGATACTTCTCAAACACACACTACAAACCAGAGGATTTGGCATATAGAAACTACACTGTAGCGTTGTCCATGCATTCAACTGTAGAGGGAAAGAAGGCTATATATATATATATATATATATATATATATACATATATATATATATATTTCCTAGCATAATCCTTAACGTTCACTTTCTCCTTTTTCAGTCATACCAAATCCTCAATAATCTCTAAAAACAAGTTGCTTGCCTGAACTTTGATGCTAAGAGGCATAGAGAACAAACCACACTTTGGGATCATATGATGATTCTCAAGACCTTAAGAAACTAAGTACAAAAAAGCAGTAGAAGACGTCAGCAGAACCACATTGTAATGTCCATGACAGAGCCTGGAGCAGCGTTTGGTGCAAATGTGCCAGAACGCTCCAGCTGCAGGTTAAATTCCACTCGCTGAAGCCACTCTCAATCCCAGATATGTCTTAACACTAGCAGATCTTCCCATATGCACTTTCCAGGCCAACCTAAAGCCTATACCCTCATTTGGGTGGTGATGCAATGCCAAGAAAAATGCAACATGATGAACGACAAGCTCAAGATATTTTGGTCCTCAAAGAGGCCCGGGTTTTGAAACGCTTTGGCTTTGGAACAGGAAAAGTGAAGAAAGCCTGGAGTAATCAGTGTGAAATAATTCAATCTGAGAAGTTAAAATACTGGCATGCCATTCTCAGCGTTGCTTGGCTAAACCATGCTGATCTGGAAGGCTTCACGCGTAAGATCTCATCCACAGAAGCATGCACCATGAGGTTTGAACAGGGTAGACGGGGGGTCAGGCGGAGGTTCATTTCTCTTTATTACACCCACAGGATGTACAACTGGGAAATTACGCCTTTTCTTATAAGATTATCAAATGACACATGAATTACAGGCACAGAATCATGTACACACATTTATATGTATTCTGTACATAGATAGATCTGGATTACATAATTACATTGATGAAAAATGATGGTTCTCTTTATAAATGTTTATGTCCAAAGACTAAAGCAGTGTCAAATGGCCAGCTATGTACTACCAGGTTTTTTCTCTTAAACTCAGGCTGTTACAAAGCCTTAGGCTATAAGCCCCAATTTGTAATGTGATACTTCCTTTCTCAAACACACTAGGAACCAGCCCCAAACCAGAGGATTTGGCATATAGAAACTACACTGTAGTGTTGTCAATGCATTCAACTTTAGAGGGAAAGAAGGCAAGCTGTATTCATATAGCATACAGAAACACATGAAAGCAAACGCAGGACACATTGCGCGAAAATAAAACACAGATGCTCAGCAGTAAATGCCTGTACAGGCTATAAGATGAAGAATAAGAGTCTTTACTATTTAAAGCTTGTCCGAAAGTTCAGCTGTCGCAACATGACAGCAAGCTTAACACAAAGCACTGGCAGAGTACAAGAGGTACCAAGACTGATTTTCCTTAGAGGGACCAAGACTGCCTGTTGGATAGACTGTCTATGGTCACTTGTCTCAGTGTAAGTAGGTAAGTAAATATATATTTATAATGCACAAAGACAAACATACAGAAAAAAACAACTGTTTACCAAGCAATTGGTATATAATTAGGACACAAAGTAAAATGAATGGGCCAATAAAATGCTTCAACAATGCTACAACACTACTTAATAACAGCATTATACATTATAGCTTATACCAAAAAACACCCCTGGTAAAATGACGTTTTGTTGATTTTCTAAGGTGACGAAAAAGTTAACATATCTACAGGGATACAAACTTTTGGCACGATTTGTATTTATTTGTATAATTTAACATATTGGAAAAAATATAACATAAAATACAGAACGTGCTACAGGCCACATTTTGTGTTTTATGTTTCCAATATGTTAAATTCAGCAAATAAAAAAAAAAATATGGCCTGTGCAAAGGTTTTGTCCAACATGTTAAACCAGCAAATAAACAAGAATTGTGTATTTATAAATAGTAAATGAACAGTAATTTTGCATTGAAATGTGCAGAGTTGTGTTCTCTGCAGAGCAAGTGTTATTTTCTCTTAGACAATCAACAAAACATGATTTGACTAGGGTGCCCAAACTTTTGCATATGACTGTATAAAATGTTGTTATGACAGAAAGAACAGGAGGTTTCTCTCCGCCTGCTTTACTCACAGGAGGTGTTTTCACTGGCTTGCTTCGGCCTATGCATCATCCACAAGCCCTCCATGAGACAGACCTATGACCACCCTATTCACAAGCCTAAAATATGTTTTAAGTCTGGATTTAAAAGCAGTACTAGAGGGAACATAGCTAATGTCCAAAAGTAGGCTTAGTGATTGCAAAGGCACAGTCAACCTTACTCTTTAACCAAGACCATGAAACAGCTAAAAGGAAAGGGTTTACACTGTTTTTTGTGAAGGAAGAAAAACGAGAAGCACAGCACGGCCTATTTTCCTTGGGGTGTCACACTGTGCTGCTTCTGGCTGTGTGTCTTCCTGTTGCTAAGCAACAGCAGCACCATAATTGTCAATCATCTGTGAATCAGTCGATCAATCTGTAATTATAGGCAGAAAGTTCTGACCCTTTTAGAAAGTGATCTAGTATTAGCTAGGCAGTGTTGTGCTGCCTAGTCAAAGCAAGCTATTGCTTTTTCTTTATGTCTTCACCATTTTGATCCATGACATCATACAGTTCAGGGTGCACATCAACTGCAACCACTAATCCCTTCTTCACTTCAACTGTTACTGAAGGCTCATCTTCTTTTGATCCAATTGGTTAGGACAGAAAAAACAATCATGGCATAAGCTACTTCACTGCTTCAAGATGAACTTTGGATCACTATTCTAGAAGCTACACAAAGACTGGACATGGCTCTGTACGTCATAAGAGAAGGTTCTGATTCTGATAACCATCTGATTATAAAACATCATTTTCCATGTGAATAATATTACATAATACTGACCTTGGGTACTCTTTTAGCTCTGAGACATGCTACTGCATCTCTTGGAATCACAGAAATACATTGCCTAAACGTTATTTCAAGAAAAGTGAGGGGGGTAATTTAGGCTAGACAGGCTAGTTTTAGACCAGAGATGCAAAACTCCTGCTGCCTCTGTTTTAAAAGGAGTATATGATATAATGATAGACAGTAGTAGATACTGCACTCACATGCACAGTACTTTGAAAGTGAGCTCACATGTGGAGCCCTACATAATAAAGTCTGAAGTTCATTTGGATTAATGAAAAATCTGCACGGTTAGTCATCCACAGCTGTGGTCAGGCGAGTGTTTTTTGGTGGGGCAGCAGGGGACGGATCAGGCCGGATGGAAGAGGGGAGGGGTTACAGGCCCCTCGCTCAAGTGTCCCAGCTATAGAATGACATTAACGCAGAAGTTTTCCCTCCGCCTGCTTTACTCGCAGGAGGTGTTTTCACTGGCCCACTTCAGCCTATGCTGCGTCCACAAGCCCTCCATGAGGCTGAGTTTAGCTAATGTAACCAATAATTTGGGCCTCAGCTCTGCATGAGGTTTAGACTGGAGAGGTTTAAAACACAGCCACCGCATAGCAACAGTGTCAGCATTAGAGCTAAATATTTACACTCTGAATCAGTAATATTTGGAGTAATATTAACTTCACTGAAATACCACGTACAGTACATTATGACTGGAACGACATAAAGAACCCTAATTTCCACACGTCAACAACGTTATAAAAATGGGAAACCGCTTACCGTCGTCTCTACATGTTTCAGTGGGATGTCATTGCTGGGAGCCTGAAAGAGAGAAAGCGAGAGAGAGAGAGAGATGGTCAGGTGATTGAGGAAGGCAACAGGCGAACGGTGGAAAAAGCCTGCAGGTGGTTCCCTGTCCCAGCACCTTGCCCTAGCACTGCTCCAGCTCATTACCCTTCAAGAGAAACTGGAAAGGTCAGCCTCTTAACACAGCAGAGCCCACTCAAAGAACAGCTGGAAACTGCTCCATACAGCAGCAGGATATTAGCCACCAGTACTAACAGAGCATCAGCAAAGAGAAGTCACAGTTATGGCTGGTAATAACGAAAACCATTTTTAATCATTTTTATTCATTATGTCTCACCTGTAGCTCACAGAAACAAGAAGATTAATTCTGCCAAAAGTACAGGTTCTAGTCTTTCAACTGACCCCACACTTGAGTTTGTAAGCAACAGATATTTTACTGAGATTTAAACTTGATGAAAAGTTAACACTGTCCATTGTCTAGTTCTGCAAGAAGAAAAAAAAAATCCTTTACACTTTTTTGTCATTAAAAAAACTAAAAACAAACATAAAAAAGTCTGTCAATATAGAACGTGAATGGACTCGCATTCAGAATGTGAATGTAACTGTGAATGTGAATGTAAGTTAATATGTAACTAATTAGTTAATGTTATTACATTGTTAGTACATTATTACAGCAAAAAAGTGAGACAGGATGAACAGACACATTTCTACATTAACATTGATTTAAGTTTGTGTTGGACAAGTGAATTATTATTTTTTCCAACTAGACAAGAAACTACAGCAAGAAAAAATAAACATGCAAACAAATTATTTTATGAAAGAAAAATTAATGAGTTCTGAGAGAAGTGAATTGATCATTTCAACAAAGCGATGATTTTTACTGGGTGAACTCTGATGAAGAACAAAGGCTGTTTTGCGTTAGCACTCCAAAATAACCATTAGACACCGCCTACTTACACACTTATAGTGTATATGCATACACATTATAAGCGTGCTTTGTAAATAACATTGAGTTTCTATAGAGTTAAAAAGTGGGACACGGGTAATGCTAGCTAGTTAACGTTTTTAATTTAACAACATTTATTGAACTTTAGCACTCCAGCTGGTCGATTTTGGTATTTGGTCAAGTAAAGTGAAGATATACTTTTCCGTAGCACAAGTCTTCGAAAAAAGCTTAATGTCAGCCCTGAGTGCATCATTTAAACTAAATAAAAGCCTGATTTTTTTTTTCCTTTCTTTTCACTGCCACTACCAAAGACAACACTGAGAAAGAATATTCATATCCTAAACCAGAGAACTACTAAGGAATGAACTCATGGACAGCGATCACACTGTACAGACAAAACTTTCCAAACTCTTAAAAGTCTTTAAAAAAAGCAAAAGTGTGTGGAGGGTCAGACTAGGAGAGTCTGGAAAAATGTTGAGTAATAATACAAGGCAAGAGTGACTGTGATGTGCAGCTGATAGCGTGTTTGTGTGTGTTCTTGAGCCTGAATGCAATGCTCGTTAAATTTCTGTCAGAGAGCTATGGAGAAAAGCAGACAGACATGGGCTGGGCCCAATGCGTAAACAGGCTAGGCTAAATATTTGGACAAGGCAACATAGCTTCAGCATTAGTCCAAGAGCAAGAGAGTCTGCCCAGTACCTCAACAGCACCATATACAGAAGTGCAACCTAGAACCCAAGAGAAAAGAGACAGCCCAGAGCAAAGTGTTTATTTACGGGGAGACAGGGCCCCTGGAATCCATGATGTCATGGGCCAGCATGACTCTAGCCCATCTCTGTACGTTTGCATTAGCGTGATACCCACACAAGACAACCATGCCAGCTCAAGAGAACAATAACAACCAGGGTGAAGGCTTAGCCGTGCCAAGACAAGTTGAGCAAGTAAAGCCTGTGACCCACACTCATACTTTCATGTTGGGTAACTCTGTGTAAACTACTGTTGAACTTTAAGGGATGGAAGTGGGAGGAGGGCGAAGTGGAAAAGATATCAAAGAGGTGAACTACATGCAGGAAATTATTAATGGATGAACTATCGTGACTCGAATTTTAAGAAAATTCACAACAGCTTTTGTTCAGGCAAAACCTCAGCCTTCTGGGGGCCGAGCGGTCGCTGATGTAATGTGAATCATCAAATCACCCTTTTCCACAAGAGACCCCGCATGTCTGTCTCGATTCCTGAGAAAACTGCTCTCTCTCTCAAAACACTGGGACTGTGTTTCTGAGAGCATGAAAAGCTAGGGGTAAATTATAGCCTAGGCATAGTATGTTAACCCCCTCTCCCCAAAAAATGGCCTCCCAGGCGAAACCACTAACCAGACTGCATCCGCCCCAACGTCAGCTACCGCAAACGCTTGGCAGCACTGCCCCCAGCCCCCCAGAGATACATATTTTGACCACTGAGCTTCTCGTTATGGCAATTTGGTATGACCACCAAAGCCCTTATGATCATTAAGATAGCCACTGGCCATTAAGATGACTCAGCCACAGCGCATGGACCCATCCCATTAATGGACACGGGAATAATTGAATGTAAATACTACTGCTGTCAAAATAAAGCAATAACAATTCACTGGGTCTCCATCTTGGTTTGTTATCTCCTCTAACTCTTTATCTTCAGCCAAGCTATTTGCTGCAGTGGGGGCTCTGCCACTTATGAGGTTTAGGTTTAGGCTTAGGCAAACTTTCATGGAATCCTAAGGCGAGGCGCCCAACATGCAGCAGTGCCAGAGTGTGGATTTGTAGATAACCCAGATTTCATTGCTTTCTTCCTCTGACACAAGAAGAAGAACAACAGTAACAAGCTGCTCAGCCTGGCAGACAGTCTTGAGCCTTTGCAGGGAGTGCCTAAAGAATAGCCTGGCTTGAATGAGGTGTGAGGTCATGTGCTTGATGTTGATGCCGCTGGGAGGCTTCCTCCACCCTTTTCTCACACAGTTCTCTGCAGCTAAACTCATTCCACACTGCCAATGTCGCTCAAATTCTATCATTTCTCCACCTCCCTACACGTTTTTTAATCTCACCTCCTCCATCCCAACAGCTCTCTGTTATTGTGAATTCTGTTTTCTCTAATTCACCAAGGCTTAATCTCTTTAAAGTTCATTCAGCACCTCTTCATTCACTGTTCGGCCTGGATTAATGTTTCAAAACATAACTTTTTCCAACAGTACTGGCATGAAACCACTTCTTCTGAAAGACTTGCTCAAAAGTGAACAATCCTACTTTATAATAAGAAATGCTGACTGGTTGATGAGTTTTAGCCACAACTGGTCTGCATCTGTCTGACTATTCTCATTAAATGCATGTGGTCTACTCTCCGGTTGAACTCCTGTCCCTCTGCAGCAATCTTTTCCATTCTGATGTTGCACAATGAACGTCGGGCTGGTTGTTGCAACTCACTGCCTCTTCAATGCTGCATTTTCACCTTTACGACAGTTCCTGCAATTCAGCAGAAACAAAAGCTGAGGCAATGGGAACTATGCTGGGAGGAGCATGGGGTGCCTCGATGTCTTACAGAAAAACAAACAAACAAGCAAAATGGTTGCTGATAGCCTTGATGACCAAGCCTGTGTTTTTTAGTGTCTATCACATGAGCATCCCACTCATTTTAACTGCTTCTAGGAGCCCTAATTATGCCCACTTTAGCAAGAAGGAAAAGAAAAAGGAAAAAAGAGAAAAGGTACAGGGAGTTTCCTAGAAGGAAGGCACAAAAATAGCGAACAGAGTCTCCTTTAAAATGACCCAAGGCTAAAAATAAGGCTTAGCAGTGCTCATTTGAAAAAGCCTGGGAGAGTTTCATAGCTCATTCAGCTTAAAAGACTGTTTTCGGTAGGACAGAAAGTCATGTGTCTTCTAACAAGTCCTAACTGTTTCTGACTTATTTGAGGTTTGGATCACAAGTGGTGTGAAATTTAGGGAAAGGCAAAATGTAATGCCAATATTATTACCATAATAATATCACATTCATGTAGTAATAATGTAACTGCATTAGTCACTGAATTACACAACTGTATTAGGCAGCTTTTGGCTTAAATGACTGTTACCAAAAAGTAGGGTGCATAATTCTAGAAACATGCTGACCATCATATGTATAATAAAGAATATTTATAATAAAGAATATTTAATATTTGCATGAGGTGTAAAGCTTTCATATAAGTGTTCAATGAATTCTGCACCATGACCTTGGAACACATTATCATATTGTGAACGTGGTCATATTGTGCAATCCAACTGACATCACTGGTCTGGTCAGCTCAGTTTTGGAAAAAGAGTGAAACTCTGGGTGTGTGCTGGCTGTCTCTTGGCCTCCACCTCCTCCCCTCCCAACGTGGCCTCTAGCCTCTTCTCAAAAAGCACTAAATATACTGGCTTTGTTTGCTTCACCCTTTCTCTTCCATTTTGTTTAATTTAATTATAATGCAGTAGTTCTTATGAGTTTTATAATGTTGTATGTTGTCCTTGTCTTTTCTTTGTTGTTTTATTGTCATTAGTACACTGAGGGAAATTCCTAACAAATGACTTGGTATGGCAATACAACTCATTAAATACTGAATTACGATAATCACTGTAATTATTTAATATTTATTTCAAATTATATAGTCACAATTTCATGTTTCATTTATACAAATACAGATGAATACAGGACCTGTAGGGCATTCATCCTAAAACACTTTGGGGTTACTGTGTAGAGTATGAAACAAGTAGGTACTTTAAAGGCTTTCACATGCATCGCAGTTAAGTAAAGATTTATGTTGCAATGAAAACTCCTCTGAACTCAGCATTCCGCTAATGTGCCCATGTGCTTTACTGTACATGTCTGACTAATGACTGGAAAAAATTGGCTGTTCCATTTCCAGAGTGAGCAGACGTTTACTCACACAGACTGGATTGAAAACGTGTTTCGGAGCAGATCAGATATGTGCAGGACTCCAGAGACAAAAGAAAGTTACAAGCGGATGGAGGTGGGTGAAATCCCAATGTACACACTTTATATAGTCTGCTGCCTCCTACTG